TGAAGCCTCTGTGGGATTACACTGAGTCCCTTTAAAGTCTTCAAGGATTCATCATTGAACTTCCTGCCTTCTACTACCACTGACCTCTGATCACACATGTTCCACTGAGAGGGACTTCTTCCCAATGGAAGCAGAGTATAGATCAGCTTTTTGCACAAATATTCCCGTAGAATATCCAGAGTAGAGGTCAGGGTTTGATGGAAAAACCAAGTTAGAAATTTCCTCTTCTAAGTCAAACATAACTATAAATATTTATAGCACATAATTAAATAATTCATCAAGTGAAGCTTAAAGTGAAGCTGTTTGATTTGCTGAATGCACATTTTGATTGAGATGTTTTTGAATTCTCATCTATCTTCTGCATTAATTAGAATATTTATTTTTTGTTTATCAGTATGTAGATGGACCGAAGTTGTTCAAAAACCAGGATGTGTTCTTAGAGCTGTCATTTTTAGTGCTGTATTCAATATCCTCAAAGTTATGATTGAACCAAATATTTACGGATAATGAAATCTGTTTTTTCCTGCCAGTTCACTTCTTTCACTGAAAATAACTAACAGACGAAACAAGGATACTTATATTTGCCCCAAACATTCATAGTAAACTTGTTACTGCAGGCTCTAAAATGCATCAGTAAGTTATTAGTGTTTGTTTAATTTGCATTTGCTACGACAAAGTTTATTTGGTGACGAGTATGTTGGCATTTAGTGCAACATATGTCTCAACATCAGGGATACATTTTGCTGCTATATCTAATGTTTTTTATATTCTGTGGTCATTGATGTAGAATTACCCTTATTCTTCTGCAAAATAACTCAAAATCTTACTCTTCTGCGATGTCAACCACTTTGGTTTGTAAAGTTTCTTCATTATTTTAAAGGTCCAACAAACAATCTGGAATTACATTTAATTATTCTATCATTTCCGCTCAGGGCGAAACACATTTTTAGTGTAATTCCTCACATATGATATAATTCCTTCTGTTTTTATTGACTAAAGATATTTATGGTTTAGATACAAATTTCATAAAGTTAACACTTTAAAACTAGTCATTGTACTTTCCCTACATCATAGGAAGTTGTCACAATTACTCCAATGTTCAAATTTGGTAACAAAGCAGATGTTTTATGGGGCCCCAAGTTCCTGGGGGCCCCATAAAACTCTGTTTACATGTATGGTTAATACAACTATTCCTTATTTCT